GCATAAGTAAGTGCAAATCCGCCGCCTGAGCATGAAGTTATGGCTTCATAAAAATGGTGCGACACAACTTCTACTTTCATTACCGAACTTCCAGCTAACAGGTAAATAAAAGAAACAGTTTTTCTTTCCATATACCGCTTCTTTATGAGCTAATATACTAAACCCTTCCCCCTCAAATCGTTTTAGAACCCAACAATACATGAATACGATGCACAGACGAGACTTCATTAATCCTTATGCGGTGCGTCATTTTATAGCATGCGGCGAGATCTGACATATGGGACGATCCAGTCGGGATTTTTTTATCCTACTACATCGTCATTAATTCGCATTACATCTGCGTGAGACTTAGCTATAAATCTTGCACAGCATGAGAAGTACGAAAAAAAGGTCCCACAGTGCTACTCTATCAGCTCAATAGCAATTTTTGGAAGATCGGGGAAAGCAGGTCCAAAAAAATTAATTCTCAAAACAGTAATCGGGGGAGTACACTTCCTCGACGACTACTCCGCTACCATACAAATGCATGCACGAGAAAAGCATGGAAAAGATAGTAAAAAAAATTTTTTTAATGCAACGAGATATCAGCGGATAAGCGAAGTAGTATCGTGTGGAACCGAATTCGGATGGCTTTATGTCATTTTTCATCACCTTCTCGATTGCAAACCATTTTGAAATATCGACTTACGGAAAACAAAAAGGACGACAAATAAGATAAACAATAAACTCACGATGGAACTGGATTTCCTTCGGCTATACAATTGATAGTAATTTGGAAGAGATTATCTGGAGCTTTCGTTTGCTCCGTACCAACTTTTTCAACTTTAAAATATAATACTGGCTCGTTCGGCTCATGAACGAATCGTGGTGGTGTCGCTATAGAAGCCCAGTCGACTGCGGCACCTGAAAAACAAACTTTGAAAACAAAAACAAATGGAAGTCTATCATTCCATTTGCATAGTAAATCATAAATCTATGCGAAACACTAGAAGCCTCGTAAGAAAGAGGAAATATTGTAGAAAATTTTTTCGTGTGGGGTCCCTCCGATGCCCCTTCGAACAAAGACACAATAGCAACGATTCCCAGACAAGCACTGATCCCCGCACTTTTTCATCTTCTTCAAACACGACACACGACCGTAACACACAGCCCCAGCTGAAAAAACATTGCTTAACCAAACCACTGCTTGTGTAGCATAGCGGACAAAAAACTCTTCGTTCGGAAAATGCAGAACGTAGCCGTACTAAACAATCTGATACGGAGATCCCTGTTTCCTTACCAAACTCGAGTGCAAAAGCACCCTCTCATAGCAGTTCTACAAGGTAATGGAGCCAGTAATGATATCATGACTATATATATTTGGCTTAGCCACTTTTTG